TCGTCAGTCACTTGTGGTTAGGTAAACCTAAAATATCGAGTGTAGTGGCCTTACGAAAAGCCGAAGTCTCATCTTCCGCGTTGCTAGTTGGAGTAGTCGATACCAAATTGCAGGAGTGTTGCACATTGTTTATGTTTTTCAACAACGTTATTATATCCATACTATACCTCATTTGTCCATTTTTTTATACCCATGTGTTGGTAAGAAAATCAAAGATAGTAAATTTACAGAAATAATGTTTTGCAAGATTACGATTTAATTGTACTCGAATCTCATCACCCCTATAAAGATTGTAGAATGATCCAGACTCAGTCACATGACCATCTTGCTGACGCCCGCCCGCCCACCCTCGTGATTCAGCTGAATGACACGCTCAGTACTAAGCCCAACGTAGAGAAAATGTTGAGCTGATGTAGGCGCCATGATCGTGAAGTAGTTTCTGTGAGGATCGTCTAACAATTTTGCGTTTGTAGCGACTGGAGCAACTGAAGTGGACGTAAACTAAAGGAAATTTCAGTAGTTTAACATTAAGATATTAGTTATTTTCCCGTGTCTTCAGGCAACAGTGTCTGTCTTCTCTATTCGTCTCCAAAGCACTTGGCCTCATACCCTTTGTCAGTCATTACCCCTCATCAACCTATCATGGAGGGATGGTGGAAAGAAGGGGGCTGATGAGATGAGAAACGGTTGGCTCAGCTGAAGTTGCACGTTGTTGTTTGACAATCAACAATTGTTTTACAGAGGTAAACTTATTTTTAAGTAGAGTTTTAGATATTTTTCAGTTATGAACTAGATCTAGGCAATAATTGTACTGTAGGCAAAGGAAGGAAGGGACGGCGAGTTATCAGCTGTGGCGTCACATAAATTATGCAAATGAGCGACCTTTGCCTGGGCCTGGCCATCGCCTCACTGCGACAGAACCGGTTTGAGCCAGTTCTCTTGGCCGGGTCTATTGCGCTGGCGAGGCCCGCCCGACGTGGCCTGTGGCCCTGTAGCCTAGGTGAAATGTTCAGATCTCGGTACAGTATTCTCACGGCAGAGACGTCGAAAAGGCCGCATTGTATTCCAGTAGTGAAAACAAACATGGGGCTTTTCATGGCCTGATGAGAGGTCAAGTGAGTTAATGACCTAGATCTAGCTAACTTGGGCAACAAGACAAGCTTTGTGTTGTTCACTGTTCCTTAAAAAAAAGTATAATAATTTTATTAGAGACGACAAGAAAACACTTGGAACCAAACGTGATAAACTGAAGTTGGAAGTCTGATGTGTCGTGATAAATTTTGTCTGTGTGGTTTGTAAGTTTGAAAGACAGGAAAACTTCTGGAAGTTAAATTAATTTAAAAAAAGCTTTGAAAAAAAAATAATCTCGAATGCAATAATTGACCTCAAAGGAATCATGAATGACGTCATCACCTACGCAGTCGATGTTGGCGTTGGCAACGGAGTCTTCATGCAAATGACTTTTGAGTTGAGATTGTGTTTTCACAATGAAATCTCTGTGGAAAATCATTATGCCATTACACTCTTTGGCTTTTGAGCATAGAACGACAACACAAAAATGTGATACACATCTTTCGGGCAAGAAATTTCTCCAGTTAAACATAGAAACAAGTAGTGTTTGATGCATCACTTTGTAGGTGAACTGTCTTAAATTACATGGATAGCCTACCTGGTTCTATTTCTCCAATCCCACCCACCACGTATTGTAAAGAAATCACTTTCTCCCAAACCCGTTCTCTTTGTTTCCGACTGTCCCGCCCCTTGTCTCAAAACTGTTTGAAATGTTGCTCTAAAACCATCTTTGTCCACAGAAACATCGTTTTAGTTTTAATTTTAATTAATTGTCATCGAGTACCATCATGAGTGTTTAACTTTTAGCTGTGTGCATGGAACATCTCTCTTTCAACAATCCCTGAATTGGATACACATTTAGGCCTAGATTTTTTTAGACTTGTGTGCATTTCACCAATCAGGGTGAATTGGGCATAATTGGGTCATTTCCGGTGTTTTCCAAGCCATTCTTGGGAGCCCAGTAAGGAAAGACCGCAGAGTCAAGAGTCCCCCCCCCCCCCCCCCCCCATGGGAGCCCAGTAAGGAAAGACCGCAGAGTCAAGAGTCCCCTCCCCCCCCCACCCCAAATTGCTCCCCCAACCCCTCTCAAGGAGAAAATAGGT